CTACCCACTGACCCCTGACCCTCGAGGTCTTACTGTCCATGAAGAATAGGGAGACTTTTCCCATCCTCTGAGCTCCTGCAGGGACAGGGCTCCTGTTATTTGGCTGGCCATGTGGCACCGTCAGCTGTTGGCTTCTGGAATGGGGGCAGCACAAGGTTCTGCAAAGCAGGGTGAGGCCCAGTGGGCAGGAGGAGGTCCTCTGCTTCCCCTATTATTTCAAGCCTTGTCATCTCTGAGAGATCAAAGCACCAGCTCCCATAAACGCTGCTGCTCTTCCTCCAGGATGACCTCGACACACAATTGTACTTTTCCTGGTTACTACAGACCACCTGGTTCGCAGAGTCTAATAGGTATGCTCACACCTGCTCAACCAGCACGGTCTGGGGTAGGGGCTGCCCGCAGGTACCCTCCTCACCTATGAGACCACAGGGTCCCACTGCTTGTTCCTGCTGCACTGGGCTCCTGAAACCCCTCTGATCAATGCCCTGTAGTATGCTCTCACTGTCTCTACAAGGCCTTGCATTACCTGCCCACGGCACCTCAAAGCCCCTCCCCCACAGATCCCTGTATGTCTGTCCCAGCTCAGGCATATCTGGATGCCATTGTAGCTCCTCCTCCAGCCACCCTCCCAGCCAGCCCTCGGGGTCCACTCTGCTCCTGCTGCCCTGCTCCACTCCCAGACTCATCCCGTCAAGCATCACCACCAGCTCCCGCCTAGCCCTGAACTTACCACACCAAGGGCCTCAGAGAACCCAGGCCTCCTGCCTCCCACACACCCTCTGGTCCAGGCCCGAAGTGGCCACCATGAGGCCCTTTCTGCCCCTCTGCCAGAAGCAAGGGTTGGTAGCTTTTATCTGCCCTGACACCTCCCCGTCCCAAGGACTAAAACTTCACCCAGGACACGCAAGCATCCAGCATATTGGATCTCAGTGCATTGATAATGGGGAGACCGGTGTCCCCCCCAAGAGAGGTGGTGGTTGTGTTGTCATGGGGGTGCAGTCGGGTCTGACTCACAGCGACCCCACGGAGAATAGAAACACGGCTGCCCAGTCCTGGAACATCGCAGCTCCCCAGAACCACCTCCACCTCCACGGGGAGCGACCGCTGTCGGCCCTCCAGCGCACACGCTGCTCCACGCGTGAACACAGCACTCTATCCTGCTTGCAGTGGACCTCACACCCGGGTAAGCGCTGCACAGCAATCCCTGCCGTCTCAGTAACGAACAGTAAAGACCACAAGCAGCCAGCCAAGTAGAGGAACCCTCGCTGAGGCCCCCCGCCCGCCAAAGCACAGCAGTTTCTTAAGCATCCGATGCTTCGGGCTCCCGCCCCTCAACCGGCGTCCCACGGGAGGCGCGGGCATCCCCAAGCACGGTTCTCGGAGAATTTACGTGCTCAGCGGGGACACCAGGGCCTCCCTGAAGCTTTCGGGGCCTCGGGCCGCGAGGGGATGCCGGGAGGAGGAAGCGCCGGGAACAAAAGATCGCCTCGTCGGCCCCCAAAGCTCGAGGTCCGGCCGGCGCTGACCCGCCCCGGGGCCCAGGAGTGACCGCGTTCCCACGGCCCGCGCCC